TGCAAAGCGTGTTCTAGAACTATCTCTGGAGGAAGCCCGCCAACTAGGTAGGTACCCTTGTCTAATCCTTTTGTTGGATGGTCCAACGGTCATGCATCTCCTTTTAAGTTTTATTTTGATCTAGATGTTATAGTCATGATTTTTCAATAGTTACTTCTTTCCTCTCCAGGCACAAGCTTCACTGGATTCTAAAAAATCATTTCTTTGTTGTCTGTGTTGATTGGTTTTGTGATTCAGGGCATAATTACATTCACTCGGAACACTTGCTACTTGGATTGTTGCGCCAGGGTGAAGGTGTGGCTGCCCGTGTTCTTGAAAACTTGGGTGCTGACCCCAGTAATATTCGCACACAGGCAACTAATTTCCCTTTCTCAAACTGGTTTGAAATGCTTTTCTTGAAGCCAAGGGTTTAATCAGAAACAGCCTCTCTACCTCCACGAGTAGGGGTAAGGTCTGCGTACGAGTAGGGGTATGTTGTTATTATTGTTTACTTCTCATGGGGTTGAGGGTGTTTTAAATTGCTTGACTTCATTGTAATCAGTTTCTCTTTTTTGTTGAAAAATAAATAAATAGGTCATACGGATGGTAGGCGAGAGTAGTGATGGTGCTACTGTTGGAGGTGGAACTTCTGGCCTAAAGATGCCTACATTGGAGGAGTACGGCACGAATTTGACAAAGTTAGCTGAAGAGGTACATAGAAAGATATTTCGTCATAATGTGGCGATTGATTGGCTCTCTTCAATTATTTGATCTGGTCATATTATATTTTCAGGGGAAACTAGATCCTGTAGTTGGAAGACAGGCTCAAATCGAGCGTGTTACTCAAATCTTGGGTCGCCGTACAAAAAACAACCCTTGTCTTATTGGAGAACCAGGTGTTGGAAAAACTGCTATTGCCGAAGGGCTAGCTCAAAGAATCGCTAATGGTGATGTCCCTGAAACAATAGAGGGAAAGAAGGTACAGAGGTGTATGATAAATTTGCATAACATGTTTTTTGCTTGAGCTTTATTCTCTTTTTTCAATTTCATCTCAACTGTGTGGCAGATCCAGAAGCTGTGCTACATTCTTAGATAGAAAGACCTCAAAAATCATTTTTATAATGTCTTAGAATTTGATTTTATACAGAGGGTAATTTTCAAAATTGGAAGTAAAAATTCCGCAGACAAAGATATATACACAAGAAATATGTTAAAGTAGGAAATGTATATTGTTATCTGATCCCCTATATAACACCCCCCCCCCCCCCAAAAGCCTTTAGGCCAAAAATTTATGCGATTCTAAAGTATCCAATCAATATTTTTGGTACGCATGCCAAAAATTTACAGAAACACTTGAATGTCCCACTAACAATTGTACGAACAGGTTTTCAAATTTCAACCGCCTTGAGCCTGCTTTACATATTTCTTTCGTTGTCTGATATGTGGACTCAGCTATATATCAGGATTTAGTTGCCCCCTTACTTCAATTCTGAGTCTAACTGAAGTCATAGGGAAGATGAACCTATTTTTGTGAATCTTTTTATCTGCAACTATTTTGATGTGGTATACCCTCCTTTTTTCAAAAAATGTATATATCCTTGTCATTATACGAGTGTGTGACTTGCTATGGGTGACGATCAGGTCATAACACTTGATATGGGATTGCTTGTTGCTGGGACAAAATACCGTGGAGAGTTTGAGGAAAGACTGAAGAAACTAATGGAGGAAATTAAACAAAGTGATGACATAATACTGTTTATTGATGAAGTACACACATTGATTGGAGCTGGAGCTGCAGAGGGAGCAATTGATGCTGCAAACATCTTGAAACCTGCCCTGGCTAGACGCGAGCTACAGGTTCGTTATCGTCTTTGACTTGTAGTATGTCGTTCCTTGGAATGTCAATGAGAACTATGAAATCTACCTTAAATTTGGTGTTTAATCATTATCTTGATCCGAGTTCATCCTGGTAAAACTACAAAAGAATTTCAAAGCTGGTGTAATTGAGAAGTATTTTGCTTGGTTTCACTTGTCAGTGTATTGGAGCCACAACCCTGGATGAGTACAGAAAGCACATTGAGAAAGACCCTGCACTGGAGAGGAGGTTCCAGCCAGTTAAAGTCCCTGAACCTTCTGTGGATGAAACCATACAGATCTTGAAAGGGCTTCGGGAGAGGTATGAGATTCATCACAAGCTCCGTTACACTGATGAGGCAATAGAGGCTGCTGCCAAGCTTTCTCACCAGTACATCAGGTATTATTATTAATCATATATTCATTTTCCAAGGTATCTTCCGGACTCAAGTTGTTGGTACATTTTAACTTTGGGATTTCATAGAAAACTAATTTTTTTCTTGTATGATTTAAGATATATCCTTCCCAATAATAAAACTCTTAGGAGAAGCGGCTTTTCTTTTGTATCAGTGTCTGAATAGGCTTATGCACGTTTTATCTCCTGCAAAAAATTGCACATTTATCTCCACTCCAAAAAGAATCATCTTAATTCTATGATTTATCTGAAGTAAAGCATGAATATGTTTTTGAGTTGAACCTTTATTCCAGTGACCGCTTTCTGCCTGATAAAGCAATTGACTTGATTGATGAAGCTGGTTCCCGTGTTCGGCTTCGTCATGCACAGGTATAGAGTACTCTCTTTGTCTTACTCTGTCCTGCCCTTTCTTCCTAAAGGAGTCATGACCCGTTTTTTTGATACTATGTAGCTCCCTGAGGAAGCAAGAGAGCTGGAGAAGGAGCTTCGCCAGATTACAAAGGAGAAAAATGAATCTGTCCGCGGTCAAGATTTTGAGAAGGTGACTGGTTTCCGCTCGATCCTGTGCATAAAATTCCTATGGACTGATTAATTTCTTATTGAAAGCATTGAGATGTTCAGGATGTACAATTTTAATCCTCTCTATGCATTGGACAGGCTGGGGAGTTGCGTGATAGAGAAATGGATCTTAAGGCACAAATCTCAGCCTTGATATACAAAAACAAAGAGAAGAGCAAAGCAGAGTCTGAGGCAGGAGATGCAGCAGGTCCCTTAGTGACAGAGGCAGATATTCAGCACATTGTCTCTTCTTGGACTGGCATTCCTGTAGAGAAGGTCTCAACTGATGAATCTGATCGCCTCCTAAAAATGGAAGAAACACTTCATACCCGAGTCATTGGCCAGGATGAAGCTGTAAAAGCCATTAGTCGTGCTATCAGACGTGCCCGTGTTGGACTCAAGAATCCCAACCGACCTATTGCCAGTTTCATCTTTTCTGGTCCAACTGGTGTTGGGAAGTCAGAACTGGCCAAGTCTTTAGCAACGTACTACTTTGGTTCTGAAGAAGCAATGATTCGGCTTGATATGAGTGAGTTTATGGAGAGACACACTGTGTCTAAACTCATCGGTTCTCCCCCTGGGTATGTTGGTTACACTGAAGGTGGTCAATTAACTGAAGCTGTGAGGCGTCGACCTTACACTGTTGTGCTCTTTGATGAGATTGAGAAGGCTCATCCTGATGTCTTTAACATGATGCTTCAAATTCTTGAAGATGGAAGATTGACAGACAGCAAGGGCAGAACTGTCGACTTCAAGAATACACTCCTCATCATGACATCGAATGTTGGAAGCAGTGTGATAGAGAAAGGAGGTCGTCGTATAGGTTTTGATCTAGATTTTGACGAGAAGGATAGTAGTTACAACCGTATCAAGAGCTTGGTGACTGAGGAGTTGAAACAGTACTTCAGGCCAGAGTTCTTAAACAGATTAGATGAGATGATTGTATTCCGTCAGCTCACTAAGTTGGAGGTGAAGGAGATTGCTGATATCATGCTTAAGGAAGTCTTTGTGAGGTTGAAGAATAAGGAGATAGAACTTCAAGTGACAGAGAGGTTTAGAGACAGGGTGGTTGATGAAGGATACAACCCAAGCTATGGAGCTAGGCCATTGAGGAGAGCTATTATGAGACTATTGGAGGATAGCATGGCCGAGAAGATGCTTGCAAGTGAGATCAAAGAAGGTGATTCAGTAATTGTTGATGTGGATTCAGATGGCAATGTCACCGTCCTCAATGGCAGTAGCGGTGCTCCCTCAGATCCACAAATTTATTGATTGTAATGTTGCTTTCGGTTGTATTGGCTACTAAGCTCTCCTGCACTTACGAAGCAACTTGTGAGTAATTTTTTGGGGTGACAGTTGACTGGGTGATGATATTCTGCCAAGTTGATCCTTCCCAAGCAGAGCATCCAGGATTACACACTATATACTTAACTGGATTTCATTAAAATTGTAGTGACAGCAGAAGCATTTCTTCTAATTTTTGGTAGGTGATAGTTGGACTTTGTCATCATTTTCAGCACGTTTTTCCTGCTGTTTGGCTCAAATCACAACTAAGGATTTAGGTTATGAACTTTAATATCTCTACTGGTTTTTTAGCTATTGTCCACAACAAACACTAGACAAATGTAATTCCAAATTTTATATTGGATAACCCCCTAATCCTTGTAATATATATATGCAGAGACTTTGACAAATATCATTTGTTTTCCCCAAATAATTGAGATTCCGTTTTCCATGATTTCGTAGACTAATGAATTTAATTAAGCAACCTCATTGATTAAGATGCCTTGCCAATGAAAGCAATTAGGAATAAATTGGAAAATTAAGAGTGAGAACTTTAAATAACAATATTTGAAGTATAAAGAAGTACTAACAAACAAATTTCCTCTTTGAGATGAGTGCTAATCTCAGCACTATATATATACATGGATGTGATGTCCAACTTGCAAGCACAAGTCTATCAAACAAAACTGAGAAAGCAATGAAGTTTCATAATATAAGTTTAAATCTAATGTTCGTGTTTGTTTCTGCTATCAATTTCGTATGTTGGTTCAACTTTAGATGCATTGCAGCAGCCACTCTAAGAAATGAGACAGACATGAGAGCGCTGCTTGAGTTCAAATCCCATATAACAGAAGACTATTTAGCAATCTTGGAATGATTCTTCACATTTCTGCCACTGACCTGGAGTTACATGTGGTATCAAATACCAAAGAGTAACTCACTTGAATCTGAAAGGCAAGAGGTTAGCAGGAAGCATTTCACCTTATATTAGAAATCTTTCCTTCCTAAACTCTCTTGATCTTTCGGACAACTCTTTCCGAGGAGAAATTCCTCATGAAGTAAGTAATCTCTTCAGAACTTAAACATGAGCTACAATTTTCTTGGAGGTGAAGTGCTATCTAACTAGTCTCAGTGCTCTAAACTTGTGACTGTTGCACTAAACTATAACTCTCTGGTGGGGCAGATTCCTTCTGAACTGGGATCACTTTCAAAGCTCACCAAACTGCACTTAGGAAGCAACAATCTGAGTGGAAGTTTCCCAGCTTCACTTGGGAATCTTACATATTTGCAAGAGCTGAAACTGTCATATAACCAGTTGAAGGGAAAACTTCCAGACTCATTGTCACAAATGAGAAGTTTGACACTGATTGATTTATCAGTCAATCAACTTTGTGAGTTCCCTCTTCCGCTCTACAATTTGTCATCACTTAAAGGAATAGGCCTGTCCTATAACTACTTCTTGGGTAATCTGAGAAGCAATATCGGTGATGCTTTTCCAAAAGCAGAGAAGATCAACTGGGGAATGAATTCATTCACTGGAACATTTCCAGATTCATTTGCCAATGCTTCAAATCTTCAAATACTTGATCTTCCAGGCAACAATTTTACTGGAAATGTACCTGCAAGTTTAGGAAAGGTGAAGAACTTAAGGTGGCTCAACGTTAACGGTAATCAGTTGGGGAGTGATGAACTTCATCAGTTCCCTGGCCAACTGCAGCAACCTACAGTACTTGCTTTTGGCCCACAACCACTTTGGAGGCATGTTTCCAAAATCAGTAACCAACCTGTCCACCCTATTGACAGATGGGACAGAATAGGATTCGAGGGAACATACCCAAAGAAATTGCAAACCTCGTGAACCTAAATATACTTTACCTGCAAGAAAATCGTCTAACTGGTAGCATTCCAGCATCTATAGGAATCCTTTCAAACTTGGGAACGCTCAACTTGGATTCAAACAGATTGACAGGCGAGATCCTATCTTCAATAGGAAACATCACGAGACTGCTCTATCTTTATTTGTCTGGAAAACTTTAAATGGAACCGTTCCTCAATCCCTTGGAAATTGCAAACAGTTGTTGAGGCTTTATATAGGTGAAAACAATCTAAGTGGCATAATTCCAGGGCAACTGCTGAGTTTGCCACCCCAGCACATGTTAATATCTCTTATAACTCTTTTATGGGTTCCCTGCCAATGGAGATTGGAGATATAACAAACCTTGCAAGTTTTGACCTTTCTTACAACAATTTCTCCGGCATGATTCCAAGCACCATAGGGAAATGTTTGGCCTTGGAATTACTTTACATGCAACACAATTCATTTGAAGGGTCCATCCCGTACATAGCTGACTTACAAAACCTACGGGAGCTAGACCTTTCAAGAAACAACTTATCAGGAGAAATTCCACCTTGGACTATGAATCTTTCCTCCCTACTGTACCTGAATCTTCCAGACAACAATTTAGAGGGTGAGGTTCCCGTCCAAGGAGTATTCTCAAATTCAACCGCATTACAAGTTGAGGGGAATCCCAAGCTTTGTGGTGGAATCCAAGAGTTTGATTTACCACCTTGCCCGAAGCAAGAAAACAATAGAACAAAGAGGAAGCGTCTTACACCCGTTCTGACTACAATTATCAGTATTGTTTTATTTGCTGCAATAGCATGTTTTCTGCTTTCTATGTTTTTTATTAAAAGATCCAGAAAACGAAGAGATGCAACATCTACATCTGGGCATCTCATCTTCCCCATGATTACATATAAGGAGCTTCATGATGTAACTAATGGTTTTTCTTCAGATAGGTTGTTAGGATCAGGCAGTTTCGGCACTGTGTACAAAGGAATTCTTCACTCATCGAATGAAAATCCAGTTGCAGTCAAGGTACTCAACCTCCAAAGTCACGGTGCATCTAAAAGCTTCATGACTGAATGCCACGGCTTGAGAAACACCCGGCATAGAAACCTGGTGAAAGTCAGAACTGCATGCTCCAGCATTGACATCAAAGGAAATGACTTTAAGGCCATAATGTATCAGTTCATGGAAAAGGGAAGCTTGGAGGAGTGGTTACATCAAGAATACTGCAATGGTTGCTGAGGTCGCCGAAATCTGACAAATACTTCAAAACTTGGGTTAGTTTCAAATGCACGTTTTACAGAGTGAGTGGCTAATCTGGATGAATACTGCAGAGTATGGCATGGGTGCTGAGGTCGCCGTAACAGGAGATTTGTATTGTTATGGGATCCTATTGCTGGAGATTTTCACTGGAAAAAGGCCCACAGACAAACTATTCGAAGATAATGTGAATCTGCACCTTTCGTCAGACTGGCATTACCAGATCAAATAATGGATATTGTTGATGGATCCGCTCTCTGTGGAGAAATGACAGGAGAGGATGCTAACAAGAATATAAGTAGTGAACAGATCAAGTGCTTGGTTTCTATTTTCCAACTTGGGCTAGCATGCTCAGCAGAAACACTACAAGAGAGAATTAACATGGAGCAAGTTTACAGGGAATTAATAATAATCAGAGACCGGTTTCTGAAGTAACAGGAACACACTGCTAAGCAGTCCCTACAGACCTCTCAGAGAAAAGCTTGATTGAGTTGATAGTTACGACTTGTCTTATACGGTCAATCTCAGATATCAACTTATACTGTATTTTACACCTATGGCAGTAACATCTTTTTTCTCCCAGATGATAAAATACATCACAATGCCCAAGTTCATCCCAATTTATTATGTCTTCAATCAGCAACTGCTACTCCACATTACTTGCTCATAAAGACATGATATTAAGCCGTATAGATTTGATGGTTAACACAGCAGTTAAGAAAGATATCATTACCAAGTCAAAAACCTCTTAAATCATATGGCATCACAAAAGAGGAGCTCTGAATTTGGGCATCATCTAAAACAGTTACGCCATAACTATTATTTCATTCGTTTATAGCGTGGAACCAAAGCTCAATCGTTTGACATATAGGTCAAATATGATGAAATTATTCATCTCCATCTAGGCCAAATTTCAGATTAAGTTTTTGAGATAGTAAGTGAACAATCGTTGTAAAAATAGAGATAAAAGCAGTAAAGTAAACCTCACATGTCCTCACAAGATCTCATCAAGTAAATATGTATTGTTTCCAGATGTAGCACAAAAACAAAAACAAAAAAGAGGGGATGCATACATTCTGACAAAACTACAACCAAAATTGGCATCATTCAATCCCTCCAAACCAGTAAGTTCTTCCCACCTCCTCTGCTCACAACTAATAGAAGTCCCCAAAAAAATAACTACAAAGAGGCTCACAATTACTGTTGATTTCTCTGATCACTAACAATTCCCAAAACCAGAGAAATAAGATAAAAGAGACGAAACAGTGCTAACCAGCAAAAGAAGCTATTCTTAGAAGCCATAACATTGTGATGTAATCCTCATCATTGATCATTTGCTGCAACATTTGGCCAATCAAGAAACTTATAACCTTGAAGAGATGGTGGCAAGTAAGTTTGGGATGCGTTTGGATTGTCAGGAGGATAAATATAGTCCCTCCCATAATTAAGATCTTTCATTAGCTTAGTTGGTGCATTCCTAAGATGAAGGGGCACTCCTTCATTTTGTCCAACGGATTCCCTTACCACTTTTGAGCTGCCCCTATTGCTCTATAGACAGCAATAGACTTCGGAGCCAAGGCCAAATAAGCAACACACTGAGCAAGGATAACATTGCACTCAGGCATGCCAATAAAATGGCAAGCTTGGTAGCAAGCAACAGCTTGGCCAAGAGCCGATGGATCAGCTAACCCCACATCTTCACTAGCAAACCTGACCAGCCCTTGTGGTATGTAAAGAGGCTCTTCACCCCCTTCCAACATTCTCGCCAGCCAATAAATGGAAGCATTAGCATCATTTGCTATCATAGATTTGTGAAGCGTGCTGATAAGATTATAGTGCTCATCCCCTGCTCTGTCATAAGCCAGATGCTTACATTGCATTGCTTCTTTGACATCATCCAGACTGACAAATGCAGGCAAAGGAGACTCATCAGCATTTTCTTGTTTATCCCCTAACTCCCCGTTTGATCCTCTAGCCATTCCCGTACGTGCAGCAGCAGTGGTAGCTGAAATTTCCAAGGCGTTTAATGCTACCCTTGCATCTCCATCACAGTTTGTTGAAAGAAACTCTATACATTCATCATTTACTTCAATTTTCATACTCTCTCCCATACAACAGGACAGCCCCTTATCAGAATCAGCCGCAGCCCGCCTGAGTAGCGTAGCAATTTGGTGGGGCTTTAAAGGATTGAGAGTCAAAACTCTGCACCTGGACAATAAAGGCGTAACCAAATGAAATGATGGGTTTTCAGTGGTTGCTCCCATGAAAATGACACTACCATCTTCAATCACCGGCAAAAAGGAATCTTGCTGAGCCTTGTTGAACCTATGAACCTCATCAATGAAAAGAATGGTCCTCTTGTTGCTCTTCTTTTTCATTCTCCTCACTTCGTCAACAGCTTCTCTAACATCCTTAACCCCCGAAGTAACAGCCGACAAAGAAACAAACCGATAGGTATTTCCACCAGCTTCAGAAGCAGAGCAAGTATTAACTATAGCTCTAGCAATGGAGGATTTGCTGGTACCTGGGGGTCCCAATAAAAGTATTGAAGGAAGACGGCCGCAATCAATGGCTGATCGAAGAAGTGATTTGGGTGCCAAAAGGTGATCTTGCCCAACAACATCGTCAAGGGTTCGAGGTCACATTCGTTCGGACAAGGGTTCATGAGGGGGTCGTTTCTTTCCTTATTCAGACTCAACTACTTTAGGCGCTTCGTTAGACGGACACTACTAAAAAATTATCAAAAAACGACGGACTGCGTCGCTTTTTTGGTCAAAATCGACGAAAAAGCGACGCAGTCACCTCCGTCGCTTTTTAGCCCGACGCTTTTCAAAAAGTGATGGACTGCGTCGCATTGTTACTATTTTTTAAAAAAAAAATTTTAACAAAAGCGACGGACTCCGTCGCTTTATTTTAATTTTAATTTTTTAATTTCTAAAAGGCGACGCAGTCCGTCGCTTTTCTGGAAATTATATTTTTGAAAATCCAAGAAAAGCGATGGACAAACCACGCTATCCGTCGCTTTTTCTGCAATATTTTTGACAGACCAGCTTCTGCTGCCACCTGCAAATGCAATTCAATTCAATTCTACACTATTCAGCCCAATCAAACACACACAATTATAAACAATACTAAACAAAACAATAAAACAACAAACTTAAAATAACATTCAAAAGTATCTAAATCATAAATTAAAAGAACTTATAAAAATCTTTCAAAATTCGTTTCAAAAATTTCAAAAAAGTTCATAAAATGTTCAAAGATCTAAACTAGGGAGTGAGATCTACATAATCATCCTCATCACTCTCGTCATCGGTGTCATCGGGAGCCGAAGTAGTAGGTCGACGAGCGAGGTTCATCACTTGTTCTTTGATGTGCTGAACGGTCTCACTCATGCTTTCTTGTTTAGCTACTCTTCTCCTCTTCGACTCTGCTAGTGCCGCTGTAAGTTTAGCTATTTGATCCGACATAGCAGCAATCTGAACACCGTCAAGTGTCTCGGCTTGACGTGACGATCCAATACCTTCTAAGCCTGACTTGAGTCGTCTAACATCGTTTCGAGAGCCTAGACCATATCATCTACCCTTGTGTGTCCCCCCTACCACTTTTTCTTTCCAAATCTGGGTGGACAGTTCAGGTGTCAATTGGACCGAACTACTAGATTCTCAGTGACGTACTGATGAAAGTCATTCTGCATATTAAATATAAAATTTGACATCAATATATATACATATCATAAATATATTCACTATTAATATATATTATTCATATTAAATAACTTACAAAAGTTCGTTCGGCCCTTTCCTCCACCCACACATCCGGATCAGACTCATTTTCTGCCTTCCTTGAAAACCTCTGGTTCAATGTGAGTGCGTCCCAATTCTTTTTCCTATAAATAAAAACTGAAATTTATAACGATATATATGAATCAACTAATTATTTATTTAAAAGTTTGAATTAGAACTTACCATCTCTCGTGCAATTGTTCCAACTGTCTTTGCACCTCCGGTGTGCAACGAGCCACCTTTAAGACTGCCTCTAGCCTTTTTGGCTTGATCTGATATTGCCTTAAACTTGTCTGTGTTCCAATACTGACCCAATTCATCAAAAACATGAGGCAACATCCAACCGGGACGTTCACCACTATCCCAAACTTTCTTTAGCCAGCTAGACAGTTTGGTGGATGCCTTCCTCTCAAATGTGGTCCCAATGACCAAATTGTACCTCGACTCCCAAGTACACATAGTCTGAAAATAAAATTGAATAACGTTAATTAGATCGATAATAAAAAAAAGTAAAGTATACTAAACTTAACTAAAATATATATACCTTAAAGTTATTAAACATCGCCTGGTGTATAGTGTTTGGAATCTCGCTCCAAGAGTGATAAGCTTGTGTATAGAGTCTTCTAACACAGTCTTTTAAATCCCGGGCAACCTAAACCACATTATTTAATTTAACTTATTTAAACAACTTTAACTCTTGAACTAGTTTAGTTTTGACTTAATTCCAACAACTAAATCCATCAACAAAACCACATTATTTAATTTAACTTATTTAAACAACTTTAACTCTTGAACTAGTTTAGTTTTGACTTAATTCCAACAACTAAATCCATCAACAAAACCACATTATTTAATTTAACTTATTTAAACAACTTTAACTCTTGAACTAGTTTAGTTTTGACTTAATTCCAACAACTAAATCCATCAACAAAACCACATTATTTAATTTAACTTATTTAAACAACTTTAACTCTTTAACTAGTTTAGTTTTGACTTAATACAACACTAAATCCACCAACTAAACCACATTAATTAATTTAACCTATTTAAACAACTTTAACTCTTGAACTAGTTTAGTTTTGACTTAATTCCAACAACTAAATCCATCAACAAAACCACATTATTTAATTTAACTTCTTTAAACAACTTAACAACTTTATAACTTTAACAACTTTTTAAAGCTAAGTGTCAACACTAGATGGACACAAATCGATCTTGCAAGAAAATTAATTTTCTCATCAATAGGATCAACTAGTGTTGGTACTCATGCTTAACAAATATATTATTTCTAAATTTAAAGCTAAGTGTCAACACTAGATGGACACAAATCGATCTTGCAAGAAAATCAATTTTGTCATCAATAGGATCAACTAGTGTTGGTACTCATGCTTAACAAATATATTATTTCTAAATTTAAAGCTAAGTGTCAACACTAGATGGACACAAATCGATCTTGCAAGAAAATCAATTTTGTCATCAATAGGATCAACTAGTGTTGGTACTCATGCTTAACAAATATATTATTTCTAAATTTAAAGCTAAGTGTCAACACTAGATGGACACAAATCGATCTTGCAAGAAAATCAATTTTGTCATCAATAGGATCAACTAGTGTTGGTACTCATGCTTAACAAATATATTATTTCTAAATTTAAAGCTAAGTGTCAACACTAGATGGACACAAATCGATCTTGCAAGAAAATCAATTTTGTCATCAATAGGATCAACTAGTGTTGGTACTTATGCTTAACAAATATATTATTTCTAAATTTAAAGCTAAGTGTCAACACTAGATGGACACAAATCGATCTTGCAAGAAAATCAATTTTGTCATCAATAGGATCAACTAGTGTTGGTACTTATGCTTAACAAATATATTATTTCTAAATTTAAAGCTAAGTGTCAACACTAGATGGACACAAATCGATCTTGCAAGAAAATCAATTTTGTCATCAATAGGATCAACTAGTGTTGGTACTTATGCTTAACAAATATATTATTTCTAAATTTAAAGCTAAGTGTCAACACTAGATGGACACAAATCGATCTTGCAAGAAAATCAATTTTGTCATCAATAGGATCAACTAGTGTTGGTACTTATGCTTAACAAATATATTATTTCTAAATTTAAAGCTAAGTGTCAACACTAGATGGACACAAATCGATCTTGCAAGAAAATCAATTTTGTCATCAATAGGATCAACTAGTGTTGGTACTTATGCTTAACAAACAATCGATGGACACAAAAAACATGTCACAAAATTAAAGCTAAGTATCAATACTAGATGGACATAAACACATTATTGAAAACAATTGTACTTGAACTTTAGAAATTTAGAAGCACCAACCTTATCTCCTACTTTGATGAAAGAAGCAATATAGTCTTGTATCAACTTTTTTAGATGTTGAGCTTCCTCAGTTGCCTAGCATGAAAAGTTCTAAAATTAGTTAAATATAAACTTCAAATCCAAGAATATTAGTTTTTATATATATATATATATATTCAAGTTTTCAAGTCAAGTTCATATCTAATTTCTAAGATTAATTAGTTATATATTCAAGCTAATTAGTTACCATTTTTCGCACTGGAATTGGTAGTTGAGGTATTCATAGAAGTTGTAGTGTGGTAGTTGGTAGTGTGGTAGGTGAGTAATTTATTTTAACCATTTTTATTATAATATTTTTTGGTTAAGTCTCTTAATCTTGATATCTCTTTAATATTATTTTTTGGGTTGTGGAATTCATGGTAAAATGTAATAATATTTATTGTAATATTCTTCCGATAGTTGTTTTAATCCGAATATTTCTTTCATATTATTTATGATATATTCTAGATATAACATATCTTGAGTTCTTTGGTACATATATAAATTTTCTTCCATTAATTGTTCTAATAGTTTTATATCTTCCATAGATTCTATCCAATATTGTAAATATTCGTAGTTCATTTTAATCTGAATTTATTTCTAAATCATGTAGGTCTATTTCATACCATTGCTGATTTAATATATCTTCTGATTCGTAATCATTAAATATTTTTTCCCATATTATCTTTCTTAATTCAATTATTTCTATGTCTTTAAGTATATATAAGATTAAAGTTTCGTAGTTTTTTATCATTTCATCATGCATGTATGTAGTCATGTTCGTTGTTATGCAGGGTTTTTCAATTATTCCTTCCTATCATATTCATAATCGATTAAATTTATATTAGATTATTATGAGCTAGATTATCTGTTTATCATGATTTCCTGTCACTACTAGCATCGTACTTTAGCGGATACTTCCTTCTTATCAGCGCCTCAACTTTGTTTACTCCCCTAAACGGCTTTCCTCGCCTACCGGTTTCAACATTAGAATGGCATAGTATAGAA